TCAAACTGTATGCGCCCCAAGGACGATTGGATGTGAGGAAGTATTTTTTCTCCACCCGCGTCGTGGACCCGTGGAATTACCTACCTGAGGCGATTGTTATATCCCAATCTGTGGAAACATTCAAACACCGACCTGATATACATATGCTACAGCACAACGTGAGCTATGTGACATATTAACCTTGAAACACCATTGCACCGTGTGACTGTCTATATTTTCCTGACTGGAAACTTATTAAGATTGTCTCAAATTCTTGAGACTTTTATGCGACAAATAGGGAGTTCAAAGGCACAAGCCTACTTTTTCCTCAAATATGCTGACTGACTGATTTAACATGGTCGTTCGTCTCCAGGTTTCGGTCCGCAGTGTCTAAGTTCTTATCGTACTCCGTACGTAACTATATATTATTTTTGGGTGTTCCAACTAATCCTGCAGTGTACTCAGATCAAAAGTCTTTCGCAATTTTATAGTCCCATTTTCACAAATGCTATATTGCTCCTTATATGTCCGTAAGTTCTCATTAGAGCCAATGTATCTGTAAAGTCTCCAGGAGTGAATTCTTTGTGAAATAAGTCCGTACGTTCGAGTCTATCCACCACCACAACAGACTTCTATGCACGAGTTTAATTTAATTATGTCCCAACATCTAAACACTTGATATCCTTGATTTGACTTCTTTCAATGTGCTTTAGGGACAATGTTTTAATGCAAATTAAAAGCAGTCGATTTTTTTCATAGTCCACACGACAGTTCGACCGTCGCTCTCGATAATGTCCAGCAGGAGCCTCAGAAAGCTGAAGGCAGACGCGGTGACTACAGCTGGATTAAAGTAAAGTTAGACTCGCCGGATCCACCCCATCCTCTGACCACTCCCACACCTATACCCCATGTCATGACAAAGTCGAGAAGACCGTAGTTTGAGGAGGGTGTAGGCTCTTTGCGCGCCTAAACTGCACTACGGGCCACAATAAAATCGCCTTGCTAGGAGCTCCCACTTACACGGCAGTGCCATAAAGGCCACATTAAGGAGCCATTGCAGTCTGATTCAGTTTGCCAGTCAGTCCCTCCACACAACAAGACATACACTGGACTGACTGCGCGAACAGAGTTATCCCGTAAGTTGGTAAACGTACAAACCACGGCTTTTAGCACACAATGATAGCTTTAAGCGTATCAGATTCTTTTAGTGGGGAAAAATATACACTAGTTGTCAACCCCCCATCGCCAGCAACAAGCCACCGCTTAGCGAATCGGTCGCTTGAGGTGGGATAGGCACAGCGCTAAAAAGGAAAACAAGCCGGAGGTGAGCATTGTAGAGCAAGTTGCGCAAGGCCAGAAGAAAAGAGGAAGAGGAGGATCAGAGAGTTAAAGAGGAATGAACGGAAAACGAGAGAGTAAACAAGGCAGAACGAAAACGAGAACGAGAACATAGCTAACTTTTCAGCGGGGATCTTCAGGGAGTGCTAAAGGCTTTCGACAGAGAAGTTTGTGTTTATGCTAAAAAAGATAGGCTGAAGTTGCGACTATTGTGATTACGACTGCGGGTAATTGTGCTAGAAGTACTAACGACAAAACCTAGCAAATTCCAAGACTAATGTTGTCTAAGAACTAGTACCAAGCTACTGTTGATAGTAATAATACGCTAATAATACTGATGCTAGTACTAATAATCATACTCAATAATGCCAGTACAGAAGAAAACTCGATAAGGTATGTAGTGGGTCGTTG